GTTTTTTTTTTTTATTTATCCCTGTCCAGTATCGTAGGGGCGTAATCTTTAAGGTATAGTATATCACGTGATAATTTACCTTGTTTACATGTTTGTTTAGAGTACGTTCCTCGATTTGACTTTTGAATCGTTCAGAGTACTCAACTACTGCCGCTGCAAACTATAAGGTTAGGTTTTGATTCAATGCATAGTAACTCTAATTACCATTTAAGGTAAATCATGTCAAATATAACATTCAACGAACCACCTATACTTACCTCCCCACGGAATTTATCTTTATCAAATGTGTGAGTGGACGAACCTTCGTCAGACGCAGTAACTGAGGAAGGTGGCTGTATCGATGTGACAGTAACTGATTCAACATCATTAATTTTCACGCTAGCACTAGCAATATGTGAAGAACCAGGCTCTTCGTTGCTTGGTTGTAAAGATGAACTCGCAGACAATATGGATGCGGATCCAAGTGCACTACTAGAATCAGGTGTTTTTGGTTTCTTTTCAGAGTATATTTCCACTGTCTAAATATTAACGAACAATGCCTATTTATATGGTATCAATCGAACGAACAAGAATAACGTTTATGATAAAATAATATTACTTTCATTTTATCACTCTTTTTCGATGAGTGTCCTTTGTCTCTATCCAAAATGTTATCCTAATATGTAAAGGTCTCATCAAATTTTTGCAAATATATCTCATTCACCCAAAAGGAAAACAAGAAAAAAACTATGCCTTCAAATTTTTTGGGCTTGTTTGTTTATCTCGATCATATGAAATTGAATTTTGTATAGAACTATTGGTCATGGTGCTCTTAGACGGAGCATGAAGTTCACGCCATTTTTTTAACAACTATGAGAATGAATACGTGTATTAAATATACTGTCGTGATTTGATTAGTATATTATAATTATTTAGTACCTTTGTAATACTATCATGAAGTGCATCATCATTTATTTTTATCATCTGGAGACTTCTCCTGATTTCAGTCATGATATCAAGATCGTCGCATTGTAATGGCAATTTTTCCAAAACCGAAATGATCTATAATAAAATTAATGATTATTGCTAATAAAATGACTACTTAACCTGGATCAAGCAAAATATACAAACCCGTTCTATAAGTTTAGGCTCAGTATGCTCATGAAACCACAAACTCAATATCTTTAATCCATCGAGATTTAAGAATTTTCTTAAAACATTTTCATCTGTAGTTATCTTAAAAAAGTAAAAGCATAATTAAATTATAGAAATAAAGCTGACAACAAACAAAGCTTAATATTACTTCTAACTACGACAACAAGTAAAGCTTAATATTACTTCTAAACTACGAAGCACTTGAGTTGCCAAATCTGGCCTGTAGACAGCTTGTAGCATACGTCCAATGTAATTAAAAATTCCTTGATTATCTTCAAGTGGATGGACTTCCTCTGGAGTTATATTTGTACCATTTTGCTCTTTAATCTTACATGGCATTCCATAACTAAAAATGTGCTTCGAATTAATAATCCATCAAAAAATTTTGCTAATAATGAATGATATACAAAATCTTTAATACCCTATTGATGGTTCGGTGTAATCAATTGTTAATTCATCATCATCTGATATATCACGACTAGCAAATATACCAGTCCTAGTTTGATGTCCTACTAGCCATTCTTGCTTATTACAATTGGGATTACGGGAATGCGCAATGAAACGAGAAAGTCTCCCTTTTTTTGCCGCGTTGTTTATCTATAATAAATAAGATTGCACATTTTAATTGAGTGTAATGAGTACTAAATATAATTGCAGAATCCTACCTCGCTTGTATCGGACGGTGGAAAATAGGTCCGCCACAATCCTTCACTCATGTATTTATCCATGTGAAATTCTAAATTATTTATTTCTACGGGAGTTTCAATTGGTTCTACAATAAAAGATCCTCTACTCAACATAGATAAAGAACATTGAGATATAAATTTATAATATATTGCACATAAGAACAAAACATACTCTCTTATTGGCTTTAATGCCTTCAATCCAAAATATTTGTTAGGTGCCCTGATAATATCAAATAAAGCATTCATATGATTTTGAATGCTTATGATAAAATAAAAAATACTTGAGTAAAAAGTTATTACTTTGAGCTAAATAGAGTGTACTTTTTACTGGTAACTTACCATCGGTTTTGGCAGTAAGAGCCATAGGAACATAGCTCTGGCGTACATTCAATAAATCTGGCCCTATTAACGCAATTAGAGTTGATGCCACATGCCTTATTAATATTGTCCACGCCTGCCAAGTAACATTTTAAGAAACTTTGAATTTTAAATCAATAGAAATTCCAAAGCCATAAAAGAGAAATTTCAAAGCTACCTGGAACATATTTACAATTACATTTAGCTGGATTGGTTGAAAACAATGGTGCTGTCATTTTTTTATTTTTTTCTAGAATCGTTCTCGTAGTAACGTAAAATTCGATGCACTTGTATGGATTGAAGATCTTCGTCACGTGTCTTTCGCGAGCCACGATTATCTGATAACTTTAAATAACTGATACGTAACGGTAGAGAGAACTAGCTTGGGATTTGAAAACCGGAAATTATCACGTGATATACTATACCTTAAAGATTACGCCCCTACGATACTGGACAGGGATAAATAAAAAAAAAAAAC